CTACTTGCATAAACTTATCAAATACATCAATCATCAGCACCCCTACCTTAAGCTTGTTTTCCTTCAACCCGTTTTGTAAAAAACAAGTCCATCATCTGATATTCATAAGCGGAATGAGGGGCGATAACACTGTTTTGACCTACTGGCTTTCTTTTTTTTGTTCAACGTTCTTTCTAAAAGGCTCGTTAACATCTCCCATTGTTATAGTTTTGTCCTTCTCCCGTGCTTCCGGGTGTTCTGGATTTACTCCCGAAACCGGCCTTATCAAAATGTACATCATTAATGATGTTCTGCTTCTCGCTCATGTGCAAATTACATACATTCAGAAGAAGAGCAGAAGACACAGGATTAAAACCAAAATTTAGTGACAAGTTCAGTAGACGGAACCATAACAGTAAGAACTGAACATATTTAGAACAATATGTCAAAGGCAATATATGAATTCATCAAGGCATGTTTTCAGCCCTTACATAAATCCCATGACAACGAAATCGATGTACAAATTCTCAAGGAACGCCAAACAATCCCGCCAGTGGGTGAACTGGATAAATTCTACAGGGTATTCAACCAAAAACAGGGAAATGTGAAAAGAAACACGCATTTATGCCCGAATCAACCACGCTAACGCATGTAAGAAAGCTTCTACCCACGCCTTCAACCAAATTACAGAAATCCCCGTCTTCAATCAGTTTGATATATGGAAGCATTTTACTTGCAAAGCCCGCGGTTACGGCAAGTTTCACGAACTGACTTCACTCATGGTTAAACCTAAAGAACAAGCGTTGTGTTCTTTTTTAGCAAGGCGCACTGCTTAGTGTATGGAAAGTTGTCAAAGCACTACACGACCAATGCGGAATCCTATACTATAACGAGCCTTCTAGAGTGTATAAGTCACAGCCCAGAAGATGCTAAGATCAAAAAGCCTGTAGCACATGTAAATTACATATTGTTAGAGAAGGGAGCGAACAAACAATCTAAATGCTTTGCCTTTGACAGTCTTCGGGAGCGTCGTATCATCAACAAGAAGTGGGAAGCAGAATTAATACAATCGCTGGGTACGACGAAAACGACTAGGAATCAGACAGAAAATGTTACTGCTTAACGGTTTCCGACCGCGTTGCCTACGAAACGGATACACTTACATAAAGGAGTTGTTGCTTCAAATCCACAATCGTAAAATGCAAGAGGACTCTTCCATTAATAAGCAACGGTGTTGATGTATGGAGTGTTAAAGCCGATGCCCTTGTAATTAGGCCGAGCACTTATGCAAGGCAAAGAAAGCAATAGCATTTAACAATAGTATCGGAGGATGGAGACACGAGAAAGGTAAATTAATAATCCCACTGACAAAACAACACAAAACGAAAGAAAGTACATTAATGACTATACCGGAATATACCAATGAAACACTAGAAATTCAAGACGAGTGGGACACAGAAAGCATCGCAAAACAAATGACTCAACAGAGCCCTGTAATTTTCAGAAGTAAATACGCGGGGAAAGGCAAATCGCACATAGCGAAGCATTTCAGCAAGTTAGGTTATAAAACGTTGTTTGTAGTCCCCCAGAAAGCTTACCGCAAAACATAGATGATGAAGCAATCACTGCAAATAGTCTCTTTGCCATTCCCGTCGGCGACGGTGAGACACTACTAGGGCTTGACCATAGCAAGTTTAACTGTATAGTGTTTGATGAAATTGATATGAACAACTTCTACATATTAGATAGGATTCGAGAGTTTGTTACTCAGCATCCCGATAAAGTTATAATAGGCGTGGGTGGCGTTTGGGGGGTTAAGGGTTTTAGAGTTCAGGGTTCCGGGTTCTAAGGTATAGAATTTATGATTCAAGGTGCGCGTTTCAGGGAGTTTAGGGTGCTGATTTCGGGGGTGCGTTTGCAGGGGTCTGACTTTTGTCGAAGGGTTTTCCCGGTTAAGTGGCTGTAATTAGTGAGTCAGGGCTTTAGCTTGGGATGTCCCCCTTATACTAACAGTCCTTAGTTGGGATTCTAGTAGCCTCTATTAGAACCCCTATTAAGGACTGTTAGTATAAGGGGGAACATCCCAAGTTTTGGCTTTTATGGTTCTACAGAGTTTAGGCTTTTCTGGTGGAGCTCCTGCTTTCGACGATTGGGCTTTTTTGGTGGAGCTCCTTCTTTCGAAGAGGCGCTCCAAACCGTAATCATCAGGCTCGACTCGACCTGCACGTGAAGCCCCCATCCCTACTCAAGCCTCAGCCACGACCCCTAAACCCTAAACCCGAAACCCGAAACCCGAAAGCCCCCCACACCGGACCTTTGATGTTGAAGAATCTTCTTGCGTGTTCGTTTTCATACCCTGAGCCTACTCTAAACCGTGAACCCTGAACCCTAAACCCTAAACCGGCCTAAACCCTAAACCTTAAACCCTAAGCCCTAAGCCCCAGAGTCGACCCAGCCCAAACCCAAACCTAGCCTCAAACCCTACACTGCCCCAAACCCGACACCCACAACCCCAAACCCTAAACCCCTACCACCGTCACTCTGAACACCTAAACCCTAAACCCCTAAACCCTAAACCCCTAACCCCTAAACCCTAAACCCCTAAACCCTAAACCCTAAACCCTAAACCCCAAACCCTAACCCCTAAACCCTAAACCCTAAACCCTAAACCCTAAACCCTAAACCCTAAACCCTAAACCCTAAACCCTAAACCCTAAACCCTAAACCCTACCTCCAATGTTCTTCAGGTCCTAGCCGCGCGCTTCTACACGATGGTGGGGGAGGTGGAGAAAGCCCAAGAGGTGGAGGGTTCAGGGTTTAGGGTTTAGTGTTTAGGATAGCATGCCCTAAACCCTAAACCCTAAACCCTAAACCCTAAACCCTAAACCGCCAAGATTTTCATAGCCCTGCTAAGAATCTACCCACCCCTCAACTAGGGGTGTTGGGGGTCTTGGAAGCCCCACCCACCCTCGCCAAGACCCCAAGATCTATATAAGCCCCAGGCACGAGTCTTAGGGTTTCGGGTTTAGGGTTTAAGGTTTAGGGTTTAGGGTTTACTCTGAACCCTGGCCACAGATGCTGACCGCCATGGACGGAAGTAGCAGCGCGGCGGTCTGCGCGGCACGGGGTTGGAATGCCTTCGCCGCGGGTCGAAAGGCCCGGTTTAGGGTTTAGGGTTTAAGGTCTAGGGTTTAGCAGGGTTTAGGGTTTAGCAGTGTTTAGGGTTTAGGGTTTAGGGTTTAGGGTTTAGGGTTTAGGGTTTAGGGGCAGAACGAAGAGCCTTCACGGTGTAGGGCTTTAGTGGGTTTAGGGTTGAGGGTTTTTGGGTTGCAACATTTTCCCGGCCTTCGGAGGCTTTAGGAGTTTGGGAGCTCAGGATTAAAGTTAGGGGTTTAGGGGTTTAGGCTTAAGGGTTTAGGGTTTAGGTTTAGGGTGTTTAAGGTTTAGCAAGTTTAGGTTCAGCAGGTTTAGGTTTCAGGGGACTCAGTGTTCCGGGTCTTGTAGGGTTTTGGGTTCTTGGGGCAGCTGGGGGTTTGGTAAGGTTTAGGGCGTTCGGGGTACAAGGGTTGAGGGCTTCGGGTCGAGGCCTAGGCGACCCCTGGACCTCAAACCCTAAACCCTAAACCCTAAACCCTAAACCCTAAACCCTAAACCCTAAACCCTAAACCCAATTGGGAGTGGGGGAGGCGGGGGTGGAGTTTGGGAGAGGCATGCCTTGGTAGCCCAGTGGGCTACCCCTTTTTTGGCTTTTTGAGGTGGTCTTTTGGGGTTCCCTTGTGCAAGGAACCACCGCCGAGAAAGGCATCCCTTTATGATAATATGGTTATTGGCTACCAACCAAAGCTAAAAACCCCAAAACCCCAAAACCCCAAAACCCCAAAACCCCAAAACCCCAAAACCCCAAAACCCCAAAACCCCAAAACCCCAAAACCCCAAAACCCCAAAACTCCAAAACCCCAAACCCCACAACCCCCAAACCCCAAAACCCCAAAACCCCATAGGAGTTTAGAGCAGTTTTTGCACACTGGGGGTGAGCGGCTCATTGCTGAAGAGTGGCCAACACCTTGAACCAATAGGCCCCTAAGTCTACGGTCCAGCACTTAGGGTTTAGGGCTTGAGGGTTGTTTTTCTCGGGATGTTCCCCCTTATACTAACAGTCCTTAATCGAGATCATAACACGGGGAACTATCATCCCTATTAAGGAGCTGTTAGTGTGAGGGGGAGCATTCTAAGCCCTAAGCCCTAAACCCTATACCCTAAACCTTAAACCCTAAAAATCCCTAAACCCTACACCCTAAACGCTAAACCCAAAACCCTATACCCTAAACCTTAAACCCTAAAAACCCCTAAACCCTACACCCTAAACGCTAAACCCTAAACCCTAAACCCTAAGCCCTAAGCCCTTAGCCCTAAACCCTCAACCCTAAACCCCAAACAAGAAGCTGTTGGTAGAAGTGGGAGCAAGTTTGGGGCTATCCCAGGCGAATGCTGCCAGCGGCAAGCAGAGCAACGCCTACCTAGAGCAGCCCCCTGGTCAAAAAGGGTTCTTGGGTTTAGGGTTTGGGTGTTTTAAGATTTCGGGGAGCTCCATTCGGGCTTCGGGTTCCATTGGGCCCTAAAACCCTAAACCCTAAACCCCAAGCCGCAAACCCTAAACCCCAAACCCTTTCTTGGGCCGCCTTACCCTGAACCCTTGAAGTGCTCATGCCAGCCAGGGCTTGAGTTCCTGTTTGCGTAGGGTTTTAGGGAGTCCGACAGCAACCCAGGGGTTGAACAGGGTTCATAGGGTTTTGGGGGGTTTATGGGCTTCATAGGCTTCATACGGCCTATGCTGTAGGCCTTGTAGGGTTCAAAGGGGTTATAGGCAGTTCCAGTAAGGCTTTAAGGAGCCGTCGTAAGGCTCTTTTCTCTGGCAAATCGTACCCCAAATCGTACCCCGAGAAACTGAGCCCTGTAGGTGCGCGGCCCACTTCGACAATGCATGCGGCACCGGCGCCGATATTGAGAATCTCGACGGGCTCATGGGCAAAGCCAAGGCGCGGAGGGTTCAAGGCTTAGAAATGTCAGCCCTAAACCCAAAACATTAAACCCCAAATCCTAAACATCCTTCACCATGCGACGCTGCATTGCTGTCAGGACGTCCTGTCGGCCCGGTGTTCCTTCATTTTAGGGCTGTGACTTCTTACAAGGCTAACCTGTTTGTTGTTGTACAACAGCCCGAAAAAATATCAACCCTTATACGCCTCTAAGCCTTACAAGCTGTCACCCTACTTGGAACCCTGGAGAAGTCCTCTAAACCAAATCACGCACAAAAAAACCCTAAATCCTATTTTCGGGGGTCGGCCAAGCCATAAACTCTCCCAGCTGACTGGGCAACCTACCCAGGATGCCCAAAGTGCCACCTTTTTAATCCTAGCTGACTGGGCCCTGAACCCTAAACCCTAAACCCTAAACCCTAAACTCTCCTAGTTGTCTGGGCCACAGGTCCTGGAAGGAAAGCGGCAGTGGGCCCAAGCACTCGATGCACTCAACAAGGCCGGTCAGATGCATCCGTGGCTTAGGGTTTAGGGTTTAGGGTTTAGGGTTTAGGGTTCAGGGTTCAGGGTTCAGGGTTTAGGGTTTAGGGCTTAGGGTCAGGGCTTAAATTCCTACTGCGAATAAACAACCTCCCCCCCCCCCCCCCCTCAGCCCCCCAAGAGCAACCTGCAGGCGCGCGCTGGGTCTAGGTTTGTAAGCAGCAGGGCAAGAACTTGGGCTTATTAATGGTCAACAGGAGGGATCCCTAGAAGGGTCCCTTCATCTTACTCCCCTATATAACTTAACCCTTACATGTAGCTTTTATAGTACCTATATACCGAAGTAGCCCCTAAAGAAGCCCCCAAAGAACCCCTAAGGTCCCTCATTTTGTTCCTTGAGTTTAGGGTTTGCGGGCTGCCCATATTGACAGTTTTGCGGTGGGAGTCGTCGTGCATGGCAGCATCCGCAGACGGCCCGGTTAAGGGTTTGGGGTTTGGGGTTTAGGGTTTAGGGTTTAGGGTTTAGGTTTAGGGTTTAGGGTTTAGGGTTTAGGGTTTAGGGTTTAGGGTTTAGGGTTTAGGGTTCAGGGTTCAGGGTTCAGGGTTCAGGGTTCAGGGTTCAGGGTTCAGGGTTCAGCACATCTGTGCGTGCTGGGCAGCATGGGGCCAAGAAGAGCCGGTGGGAAGAGAGATCAGGCGAACAAGGCGCTTCGCCGGGAAGGTTTTTCAAAGAGACGACCCCATGAGCCTCCACTACTAATTGCTTAAGAACCCCGAAAAAACAGAAATATCCTTCCTTATCTTCCTTATCAAGGGTAACATAGGGATTATCCTTTTTTTGGTCTTTTGGGGTTCTTAAGCAACTAGTAGTTCACTGTGGGGGCTAGAAACCATGTACCCTAAACCCTAGAACGCCCGAGTTCGTCCGCCCTCCAGACCGCACCCCCTAAAGCCCCTGAAGCCCTAAAACCCCTAAACCCCACACCCCAAACCCTGAAACCCCAAACCCGAAACCCTGAAGCCCCAAAGCCCCCAAACGCTAAACCCTATACACCGGCCACCAGGCTCAAGCTTTAGGGTTTAGGGTTTAGGGGCTTTAGGGGCTTTTGGGGCTTTTGGGGCTTTAGGGGCTCTAGGGGCTCTAGGGGCTTTAGGGGCTCTAGGGGCTTTAGGGGCTTTAGGGGCTTTAGGGAATTGGCTAGAAGGCTCACCGAAAAGGCCTGCTAGAAATGTTTAGCGGATGCTGGGGATCTAACCCCCAAACGCAAGACACCCTAGAAACCTTTAGAACCCAATCTACACCCTAAATCCTAAAGTTTAGGGTTTTAGGGTTTAGGGTTTAGGGTTTAGGGTTTAGGGTCCCCACCCCCCCCCCCAAGCCCAGCGAAGCTGAAAGCTGCGCCCGGGGCCAGGTCATTGTGATGCATGATTGGTTCCTACCTGCGCTCATCGAGAAGGCCAGGCTCGTCTGGACTATTCTCCCTAAACCCTAAACCCTAAACCCTAAACCCTAAACCCTAAACCCTAAACCTTTAATCCTAAACCCTAAACCCTCAGCCCTAAGCTCTAAACCCGAAACCCTAAGCCCTGGGTCTAATATAGAGGCCTGACTAAGCCTGGCTAATTAGAATAGGGTTTTGGGGGGTTATTAAAGCAGAACTACACAGGGACCATAAGGGAATACGGTTCGGGGGGCGAAGTCAGCCGCTGCGTTTTTGGGGTTTTACATGCAGCGACTTCCTGCCCCTGTTAAACCCAAGAGGGTTAAGATTTAAATTAGACTTAGGCATGTAAACCTAAGCCCATAAAGTTTAAACCTTAAGGGTTTAAGACGTGGGCATTAAGACCTCAACCCTAAACCCTATAGGTTCGAATTTCGGCGAACCTTTTAGACCCTATAGGGTCAAGATTTACAGGTTTAGGGTTTAAGATTTAGGCATTACCCCTTAGGCATTACCCCTATATGAGCATCCTAATTCTAAACCTCTAAGAATCCTAAATCCTAAACACCTAACATGGTGCATTCCCAATGGCGACGCTGTCTTCCATATGCCGACCCTAAACTTTCGTATGTGCCCAGGCCAAGACACTCATGATGACCGCAGATTGGGATCAAGCGCTCGAGGCACGAGAACGGTTTAGGGTTTAGGGTTTAGGGTTTTGAGTTTTGGGTTTTGGGTTTAGGGTTTAGGCTTTCAGGGGGCCATGGAGGCTCTTGCCTGTTGCCAAACGATGCCCTCCGCGGCTCAATTTTGCTCCTTTTGTGGGAAGCTGAAACCGAAGCCCCTGCCCTACAACCCCATTCTAAGGAACCCCCCCCCCACCCACCCTCCCACCCTCCCACCCTCCCACCCTCCCACCCTCCCACCCTCCCACCCTCCCACCCTCCCACCCTCCCACCCTCCCACCCTCCCACCCTCCCACCCTCCCCCCTCCCCCTCCCCCCTCCCACCCTCACCGACCCTCCCACCTCCCGCACTCCCGCCTCCCGCCCGTCCCTCCCTCCGCCGCCCTCCCACCCTCCCACCCTCCCACCCTCCCACCCTCCCACCCTCCCACCCTCCCACCCTCCCACCCTCCCACCCTCGAACCCACCCACAGTTCGAAGGGCTTTGGGATGCTTTGGGGGCTTCCTATGTCTTTGGCTTCTGATTGTGTTTCAGAGCCTTATGTTGAGCGCACCCGACCCTGAACCCTGGAACCCTCAACTTTACGCCAAGAAAACCCTTCGCCAGCTTCAGGCGGCCGGACGCCTCCAGCAGCAGGAGTCCAACAACATCGATGCTTGCCACCCCATAGGGTTTAGGGTTTAGGGTTTAGGGTTTAGGGTTTGGGGTTTAGGGTTTAGGGTTTAGGGTTTAGGGTTTCCTCAACCCCTACGCCCTAAGCCCTACTTCCTTAACCACCAGTCGGTTCTTAGCAGAGATCCCGAGGGTACCCCTTGGGGCCAGATCGTCCCTGAAAGGAAACCGCTTAAAATCTTTACCACCCCGTAAAAACCCCTAAACCCTACACCCTAAACCCTAAACCCTCGAGCACCCAAGGAAGCCTTGCGCCTCAACGTCCTGTTCCTCCTCTCCCGGGAGTCGCGGTGCGACGCCGCCGCAGAGCGCCTCCAGGAACCTTCCAACGCCAGGGTCTCTGAACGAATTCCTTTAGGGTTTAGGGTTTTAGGGTTTAGGGTTTAGGGTTTAGGGTTCAGGGTTTAGGGTTTAGGGTTTAGGCGAAACCCTAAGCCCTGAACACCCCGTGGCACCCCCTGAGCCCGCACCCCCCCCCGCCCCCATCCTAAACCCTAAACCCTAAACCCTAAATCCTAAACCCTAAGCCCTAAATCCTAAACCCTAAACCCTAACCCTCATGGCAGGAGCTCGTGGCGGCCCTGAACCAGCTGGAGCCACGGAACCACGACCTTGCCAGGGCCTTTCCTGGTCTCCTAACATGCCCGCGGCTGTTAGGTTTAGGGCTTAAGGTCTAAGGTTAGGTGTTTGGGGTTTGGGGTTTAGGGTTTAGGGTTTAGGGTTTAGGGTTTGGGGTTTAGGGTTCAGGGTTTAGGGTTTAGGGTTGAACTTGGGGCGTCACACCTGAGGCCATGTCCTGTGCGCAGCTCTTCTCGCGGCTGGCAGGGCGTCACAAAGCGATCCTTGGCGAAAGCCTGAAGCCTATCGCCTCAGAGTTTAGGGAAATTAGGGTTTAGGGTTTAGGGTTTAACTAGGGTTTAGGGTTTAGGGTAATTAGCACTAGGGTCGCAAGGGTGGCCATCCTTTTAGCTTTGCTGCGTAGGGTTTAGGGTTTAGGGTTTAGGGTTTAGGGTTTAGGGTTTAGGGTTTAGGGTTTAGGGTTTAGGGTTTAGGGTTACAACCACGCATGTTGTACGTCTTACAACCCTGCTTGTAGGTTTCCGGATGTCACGTCAGTTCAGGGTTGAGGCGGAGCTTAGTGGCTTCTGACCCAAAGCCCCTCCAGCCTCAGACGTACACAGCCCTCTAGAGGATGCGCTTCAGGAGAAGTGTATGGAAAGTGTCTGGAAGTATATACTCTGCGACCTATTTCCAAGTTATGCTTACATAGATGTATGCATATATCTCTGCTTAGACTCACCCATGATCCTTCTTAAGAGGATCCTTAAAACCCTAAACCCGAAACCCTAAACCCTAAACCCTGAACCCTGAACCCTAAACCCTAAACCCCAAACCCTAAACCCTAAACCCTAAGCCAGTGGGCGAACTCCCAGGATCCTCAGCATCACCTCGCAGATGGTCAAGAGGTGCACAGACGCGGCACCAGACCAGGCGGGCCATAAAAGGACTCCCTAAACCCTAAACCCTAAACCCTAAACCCTAAACCCTAAACCCTAAACCCTAAACCCTAAACCCTAAACCCTAAACCCTAAACCCTAATTGAGGTGGGGGGGGGGGGAGGGGGGAAGAAGAGCCATTGATAAAAGGTTCGAACTTTCACATGGGCCCGTTTACAAACTAAGCCCTGCGACAGGCGAAGTACCTCACAGAGCTGGGGTACCAGTTCATGATGCAGCCCGGTTGCAAGGTAGGACGATGAATTGAAGGTTCCGCGGCCACTGGCCACAATACCCTCGCAATGTTGGTCTAAACCTCAAAAGGCTTAAAGCCACACAACCCCAAAACCCCAGAAGCCCAATCCCTAGACCCACACTCTGAAACCTAAAGCCCTAGCACCCTACTAAACCCCTAAAACTCAAACCCGGAGACCCGAGACCTCTCAGCCCTGCACACCTTCCCGAAGCCTCCCAGTGGGCTCTTGCTGTTTTGGCGGGGACGGTGATCCGAGGTGCCGTATACAACACGACGCAATGCTCAAACAGGAAGCCCCTGATTTTTCGTACGTTGGTTCTTAGTCTTTGTTTTGGCAATTCGGCTCCCTCAAATCAGAGGTTTTCCACAGTTATTCTCGCATTTAGCTATTCCCTTACTAAGAACTGGTATGTTAGGCCTCTAGAGAGCTACCCCCCCCCCCCCAACCAGCGCTGGGCTTTCCTGCACTGGGTTTTTGGGGGTAAGAGAAGTTCAGGGCTTAAGGGCCTGTTAGGGTGTTAAAGGGTTAGGGGGTCCTAAGCCTATGCCGAATCCCCAACCTTGTTCCTGTGAAAGCTTCTTTGGGGTTTGTTGTTATCGGGCTTGAGGTTCCCCCCATAGTGTGGTGCCCCTCAACGCCGGCCCTACCCTAAACCCTGAACCCTAAACCCCCCACCCCACACCCTAAACCCTAACCCCCCCCCCCCCCCACCCCCAAAACAAGCGGATTATGAACCTAAACCCTACACCCTGAACCCTGAACCCCAAACCCAAAACCTCCAATTTTCCCCCAATCGCCCAGGCAAGGCGCTTTGACCCAGGCGGAACAGACGTTTCACCTGGCCGTGGCTAAGGACGAGACGGACGTGAGGCAAGGGGCTTCAGGGGCTTAGTACAGGGGCCTTAACAAAAGAGGTTTAGGGGGTTATTATAGTAGACTTATGTAGGGACCATAAGGGAATACTATTAGTAACTACTCTGACTCCTATATTGGGGTTTCTCGGGAATGAACCCCAAACCCCAGACCCCAAACCCTGAACCAACCTTAAAAAGTCGGTGGCCCTAAGCGGCTGGGACTTTGCAGAAGGCTACCCTAAACCCTAAACCCTAAACCCTAAACCCTAAACCCTAAACCCTAAACCCTAAACCCTAAACCCTAAACCCTAAACCGGCTCTGGGCTTAGGCTGGTTTTTGTTTGGGCAAAGTTTGGGAGCCCCCTTCCCACCCCCTCCCCCCCCCACAGGCTTTCATAAGCTCCGAAGCTGTCTGATGGTTTAGGGTTTAGGGTTTAGGTTTTAGGGTTGTTGAAGGTTTAGGGTTTGGGGTTTAGGGTTTAGGGTTTAGGGTCTTGAAGGTTTAGGGTTTAGGGTTTAGGGTCTTGAAGGTTTAGGGTTTAGGGTTTAGGGGGTTTCGGGCGCCCTGTGAAGCATTCCGAGCCCGCAGCTCTAAATCTTCAGCCCTTGCAGCCCGAACCAGGGTTTAGGGTTTAGGGTTTAGGGTTTAGGGCCCACCCTCAGCGTCGAGCTTAGATTGCAGGACGTAGGTTGGGATTCTTCCAGACGTGGGTAGTTTAACGACTGCAGCCGCCCTAGTACTAAACTCCTAAACCCCTAAACCCTAAACCCTGCTTTTGAAGCAGCCGTGAACCTTCAGGTAGAAGTCTACTGCTGCCCCTATAGCCCCAACACCCTACAGCTCGCCAGCCCCAGAACCCGAAAGGGCCCAGAAACCCCAATCCCTACAACCCCAATGTCCCTACAAACCTTAAAGCCCTAAAACCCCAAAGCCCTAAAGTCCGAAACACGAAAACCCTCAAGCCCGGAAGCCCTAAACCCTCAACCCTCCTAAAATTCAAAAGCCCTAGAACCCTACAACCCTAAAACCCCCAAACGCCCTAACCCTAAAGCCCTACAGCCCTACAGCCCTAAAGCCCTAAAGCCCTAGAGCCCTAAAGCCCTAAAGCCCTAAAGCCCCAAAGCCCTAAAGCCCCAAAGCCCTAAAGCCCTAAAGCCCCCAAAAGCAAGAACCCTAAAGCCCCAAACCCTGCCCAGGGCACTCTTCGGCATTATCAACTGTCGAGTGCAAGAGGGGAACCTGGACGACGCAGAGGAGAGGAGTTCAGATCTGGAGGTCTACAACGAACCCTGTCATAGGTTCAGGGTTTAAGGTCTTTGAAGTCCTAACCCCTAAACCCCTAAACCCCTAAACCCCTAAACCCCTAAACCCCTAAACCCCTAAACCCCTAAACCCCTAAACCCCTAAACCCCTAAACCCCTAAACCCCTAAACCTCTAAACCCTTAACCCTTAACTCTGAACCCTTAAACCCTAAACCCTAAACCCTGAAGTCATAATAAGACCCTGAAAGCCCACGTCCAGGAGCAGCTGGAGTTCTTGAGTGAGATTCAAATCTCCGCGCCTCGGACCCAAAGCTGTCCTTAGGGTTTAGGGTTTAGGGTTTGGGGTTTAGGGTTTAGGGTTTAGGGTTTAGTCCCGGCGGGTTTAGGGTTTAAAGGTTTCGGGGGTTGGGCTTCAACAAAGTAGTTAAGGGTGTAGGGTTTGGGAAGTTTGCGGTTCAGGGTTCAGGCGCCAAAAGCAGATACCAACCTGATGGGTATCGGGTTTTTAGGGAAGAGGGATAGGGGTTTTAGGGGTACACCCTCAGCTACCCTTCCTTCCGCGACGGGAGGATCGATAAACCCTGAACCCTAAGCCCTAAGCCCTAAACCCTAAACCCTAAACCCTAAACCCTAAGCCCTGCTATCTCCATTTCTTGTAGAAGGAGGATGCTCAGTAGCAGCCTCGATCTTTCTGGGGGACTTCGGTTCCCTTGTGTTTACATTCAGCCCCATTAGACAAGAAAATAGTGCCATTTCTAATTCCTAGGTGGTCTTACTCGTATCTTCATAGGGAAGTAGGGTTTAGGGTTTAGGGTTTAGGGTTCCTTATACATCCTCCCTTAGACACCCTTAGTGGCTTCTACTATAGGGTACTCAAGTTCCCTACTAAAACCCCCGGGCAAGCGAAGAAAGAAAGTCTGTAACGTCTTGCACTACTGCGCTGGGCTTGGCACCTACTTGATGATTGTACCGATTGGTGACAGTTTTGTTTTTTTTCAGGGTTGAAAAAGGCAGGGTTTTGGGCTGTTCAGGTTATGGTGTTGAGGGCTTTGGGGTTCAGCCCCAAACCCTAAACCCAGAACCTCAATGTTGTTAGGGTTCTGGGCTCAAAAGCAACAGGCCGTTGAGTTAAACCCAGGCCTGTCCATTACCTCTACATACCCTAAACCCTAAACCCTAAAGCCTAATCCCTAAACCCCAAACCCCCAGTTGCTTTTGGATCCTTCGATGTAGGCTCTTCCTATCATCGAGACGCAAAAGTCCCAAAGTGTCGCGTGAGCTGGGCTTAGGACAGTAGCCGAAGTCAGTACGAGAGGACCACTTCGTTCAGATACTTGCTTAATGTGGCTAGCTGACAAGGTCTATGCCCCCGAAACCCGAAATCACCTGACCTAGCACACCTTAAGCCTTCAACTAACCCTACCCTAAACCCTAAACCCAAAACCCTAAACCCCAAACTTCCCTCAGCCCTGTAGCTTGAATTTCCCTTTTTTTCGGCAGCGGGGTAAGCAGGTAGCAACTTAAGAGTATCTAACACCCTTTTAGGGGCATTCCCAACTCGTAAGAGGTTCTACAGCTTCAAGGTATCCTGGGAGGGCCCATGCCGCTAGAGGCTTACCTGTACCTACACAGACATGCATACCTACATCATACATCTACTGGGACCGGGAGTAGGCCCTAGTTTCCTTTTCTTAGGGTTGCGGTTCCCTTATATTCCCTTTAAAACCAAAACGGGTAACCTTGTTATTCCTAAGTTACTCCCGGGTCTAGTCGTATTATGAAATATGATGCTACCTGCTGGGGGCCTGGCCGCCCCCGCCCACCACCCTTTTCTCGCCCCTGCCCTTGTTTTCGTTGGGGCCCGCCGCTCCCCCCTCCCAGGAGGTCTTATACCCCCTTCTGACCCCGACTCTTACCCCCCTCCCTTCTTGCTCCCCTCTTACCCCTTCTCCTACCCCCCTTCCACCCTTACCCCTCTCTTGCCCCCCGACCAGCAAATGTGCTGCTAAGCCGGTGGGCAGGCCACCAAAGGCCACAGCCCATATGTGGCTGGCGCTCCTTTTTTTTTTTTTTTGGGGGGGGGGGCGTTGCAGCCGTTTGAGAGCTTGCGGGGGTGGGGGGTGGGGGGTGGTGGGGGTTGGGGTACACTTGCTGCTGGGGGCTGGTGCCGACAAGAACATGCAGAGCGAGTCCGGCCAGCCCGGTCTCATGCTCGCATCTTCCAAGGGCCACGTCGAGATTGTACGTTTGCTGCTGGGCGCTGGTGCCGACAAGAACATGCAGAGCGAGCAGTCTGGCCAGACCGCTCTCATGCGCGCATCTTCCAAGGGCCACGTCGAGATTGTAGGTTTGCGGCGAGCGAAGTGGTTTTGAAAGTCTTCGCCCTCCCATCAAGTTTCTGCACCTGCTTGTTTTTCAAGGCAAAAGGTTATGGGGGAGCACTGCTGCCATCCATCGCCTAGGCGTGCAGGCGAGAGAGCAGACCGAATGGTTTGCCTTGCGGGTCGATACCATGATCAGACCACTCGGGCTTTGTGGCAGAGGGTCTTCGATTGGATCGGAGATTCTGCCTGACCAGAAGCCCTAAAGTAATGCAACTACACAGAGCGGAGATCATGGCATCGACGAGTTATAGTATGTTGTAGCATGATAAAAATGGGAATCGAAGAACATTCAGGCTGCCCGCCATGCCCCGCCCAGATTGCCCGGCCTGCACCTCCTGCGTGTGCAGGGTTTGGGGTGTAGGTAGGGTTTCACAGTTGCGGGCTTTAGGTTTTGAGGTCTATTCTACCAGAAATATTTCCAAGAGCTATTTGTCAGCAGACCTTTTCCATGCGCTTTTTTCCAAAACGCTGCCACGTATAAGTAGGTACTAGGGATGCTCCTTTTTCACTCCGGTGGAACCAGAAGCGGAACCCGAACCTGTCCAGAGAGAGCCAGAAGCACCACCACTTCCACGCTGGTTTCGTCTGGCCCTCGTTCAATCAGCAAACCAAGCCTACGTAGCAGTTTCTTCCTTGAAACCAACTTCTGGATAATGGTGACGTTCCTCAAGATTCGGAAAAACCACATCCAGAACCGCAGCACGAGGGCACTCTGCACCGCTATTGAAATCACGCTTGCTTCTCAGTTATGAAGCATCCTCGGACGAGGGCGAGCTTCTCTTCTGACGCAGTGGCGCTCGCGTAAGCCGTCGGGTTCAAATCCAAAAAAGAAGAGAAAGCTGCAGCCTCCAGGCCTCTCTTATTGGTGTCTTTTACCTATCGAAAGGATTGAAAGAACTCAGGTCAGGATGAAGACTTCCACGGCGCGTCTTATTTAAAGTTGCTGCGCAATGACGAGTTTCAGCGTTTCTTCTGCAGAAATATATATACATATATGAGCGATCACCTGCAGATTCGCGAAGTCCCCGTCAAAAGGCGGCTCCTTCACAAACGTGGCTGGCAGTGCAAGGGCCGTAGAGCATCTTGCAAGAGTTGGATGATGAGCAGTTAACACACTTGAGGTTCTCGTGACCCATCCGAATCCATCCACCGGTGGGCGCACATTGAAATGACCAGCGTTTCCAAAGAACACTGTCAGAAACCCCTTGCATCATTTGAGGTTGCCAATTTGAGGCGCTTGATCGTTCTATGAAGAGACAGTCGTGGTACACGCAGCGTACTTGATGCATCTTAAGCCGCATAATTGACATTCCAATATTTCAAATTCAAAGATCCGAGAAAATCTTGAAGTGTTCAAAGATACCGAAAATCGTTATACATTTTGAATATAGCATATTTGCAATAACTCCCGTTAAATTCAGTTATTTTCGGAACGTTTCAAAAATTTGATTTCTTCGGTTTTCGAATCGTTGCAAAGATACTTGAAAACGTCATCATTCCAATCAAAACTATAGGAATTTCTCAGTGTTCAATGATTTCTAGATACGTTGAGAGCCAAATTGTACGAGGGTTTCAAACAATCCTATCGGCTTCTGTATATGTCTCAGTAGAATTGAAAACCTCATATGACCAATCAAACATAGAAGAAATTCTGAGATATTCAAAGGTTCCTGAAATTTTTGCAAATAATCAGTCATATTTCCAATCAAGTATATCGGAAAGACAATTCTGAGATATTCAAAGGTTCCCACAAGCATTGCAAAAGCGAATTTATGTGAGGAGTTCAAACCAATTACTGGTTTTCAATATTGTATTCTCCAGAAAATGAATTACTTAGGGGCCCTAGGAAAGATTTCTGTCGAATTTCATAAAGTCGATGTTTTGGTCCTCAAATGATTCTAGAAATCTCAGATATGACTGAAATTCCAATATTTGCAACCGCGGGAAATTTCGCAGTATTCAAAGACCGCGGGAATCATGATACATATAGAAATTTTGCAGATTTTCAAGACATATCCTTGAAGTCAGGTATTTTCGGAAT